TCACATCCCTCCAGGTCAAAAAAGACCCATCCACACAACTCTCTGGGTGCGGCCCTCCAGCCAGTTGGCGACCCATTTGGCTGTGTAGGTGTTGACACCACAGTCCTCTAGTTTTTTAAATGAGAACCGGGTGAGAGACAGTGTTGAAGGCCTTCCAAAAGTCCAGAAAGACTGTATCCACTGCTACCCCTACATCTAAGGATTTTGTGACCTGGTCATAGAAGGCCACCAGGTTGGTCTGACAGGACCTGCCTCTAATGAACCTGTGTTGGTTGCCCCTAGGCATAACCTCCCCTGCTGGCCCCTCGTGGACATGCGCCAGAATAATTCTCTCAAAAAGCTTACCCAGGATCGAGGTAAGACTAACTGGCCTATAGTTTCCTGGGTCTTCCTTCCTCCCTTTTTTGATGATGGGAAGCACCTTGGCCCTCTTCCAGCCCTCTAGCACCACACCAAAGCACCACGAGTGCTCATAAAGCCATGCTGGGGTCCTGCAATGACCTCAGCTAGTTTGTGGCCATTGTTCCTAGCTACTCCGAGAGGTGCCCTGGTAAACAGAGCAACTCCTATTCCTTGCTGCCTCTCCCCCTGATTATTTTGTAGGCAGCCATAAGATCACCTCTCAGCCTTCTCTTGCAGAGGCTGAAGAGATCCATGTCCATCTCTCTCTCTCTCCTCATAGGGCTTTTCCTGCAGGCCCCTAACCATATGAGTGGCCCTCCTCTGAACCCTCGAGGTTGTCCACATCCCTCTTGAAGTACGGCGCCCAAAACGGGACGCAGTACTCCAACTGTGGCCTGACCAATGCTGCATAGAGGGGAAGTATCACCTTCCTGGACCTGTTCATCGTGCACCTGCTAATGCATGATAAAATGTGGTTAGCTTTACTGATCACTTTGTCACATTGACAACTCACGTTCATCTGGGGGTCAATTACGACTCCAAGATCCCCTGCTGCTGAGATGGTCCTCCCCCAGCCTGCAAGTGTGTTGGTGATTCCTTCTCCCTAGGTGCAGCACGTTGCACTTGTTTTTGTTAAACTGCATCCTATTCTGTTCTGCCCACTTTTCCAACCTGTCTTGATCCACCTGGATTTCTTCCCTACAGTCTAGCATGTTAACTTTACCCCATAATTTGGTATCACCCATGAATTTGAACAGAGTGTTCTCCATGCCCTCATCCAAGTCACTGATGAAGACATTGAACAACGCAGGTCCAAGGACTGAGCCTTATGGGACTCCACTAGCTTGAAGATTACTATGGCAGTGCAAGGAGAACAGAATTCTTTTTGAGTAGTGAACAACATTAAATGGAGTAGTATGCCACACAACAAGAATGTTACAAAAGATTATACATTTATAAGTGTCATTCCATTCTTTAGCATGAGTGACTGGAGCCTCCTGAAT